CAGCTGGAAAAGGGACAAAGAAGCAGTGCCCAGTACAGCATTTGCTTGGTTTCCTGTAAACTCCAAGTGTATCTAAGTTGTAGCACTTATGAGGACAAGGAGCAAAAAACCAGTGTTAATGTAGTTATTGAGTGCTGCACAAGCTCCCCACAAATCCTATCAGCTTTAATCTCTGGCTTCACTATTATTACATTAATGGATCTCCTTTGAATGAAGCCTCCACCCTCTGTCATTTCTAGTTCTCGTGGTAAAAGGCCAGAAATTCATTATGCACTTGTATTTGCTATTAACTGGCACAGCAGCTGTAAGAAACACAACGTATTTATTCATAAGTACCATGGAATAAGACTAAATTCAAAAGAAATCTCCAATAAATGTTAAGATGGTTCTATAGAACAGCTGGAACATTAAGTGAACAACCTTGATAACCCAATTGTTCATTGATGCAGAATTCATTTTGCTTCTGCTGAACGAGTAATTCCTCAGGATGCTAAAGACTTGACATTTTATGAAGCTGAGAATCAAACCAGAAGGGACAAAACCCTCTCTCAAGCCACATATTTGTATAGATGACTTAGGTGCTTTCTTGGTGCTTCTGCCTGGGCCCCCATAGATCTTATTTTTTTTCCCCTCCCTTTCTTTTTTTATTAATTCATCCTATTCTATTGATTTGCTTTACAAGGCAGAAGCAGGTTTCAGCACAGCCAAACATTCAGGATCTTATCAGCTGCATGCTCAGACTGAGACAGCATCCTGACCAACACACCTCAGTTATTTTGGCAGGTAGAAGTACTGCTTCCTTGACCCTGGGTCCACTGTAGCTCTCTGACTTGTGAGAGTCCGTGTTTCCCAAGCGTTGTGACACCTGTTTGCAGCATTTTAATTCAACCAGTTGAAAAGCAGCAGCAAACAGCTGAGGCAGGAGTCTGGTCCATCAAGCAGCATGCTGTCAGCTTCTGCTGCTGTGCTGTCCTCCTCACCAGGCAGCTCTTCCTGCTTTCTAGGAAGCTTTAATGGCAATCTCTGGAGCTTAATTCACATTTATAGAATGGGGGAGAGAGAGATGATGACATCTCTCTATCGTTTGCTCTAATTTAAAAGAAAATGCAGTCCTTGTCAGGTACACTGCAATGATCTAGCAAGCCCAGAAAGAGCATTTGAGTGAGCTGCCTACATATACCCTCTATACTGCATTAACTCATGCTCTTTGTACATGTCCAGTGTCAACCAAATAGTGATTTGTCTGAGTTTTGGGCTGTTTGTTGGTTTGGTTATTTTTTTTTGGTGTTTTTGTTTGTTGGTTTGGTTTGGTTTGGGGTTTTTTTTATGCATCTGTGTGATCTAAAGCCTTTATAATCAGGAAATTTTACTTATTTGAATACTTTGAATCGCATTCACACCATTTATCTTGCAACCTTAGATTCTTTTGCTAGGCAGAAATCTTTCTGACTCATCCTCTTGAAGTGGGAAAGCATTAGAGCAGAGGAAAGCTGTTGCTCCTTCCCTAACAAACACAAGATAGACTACACTGCTCCTGAGACCCAGGTCCTGCCCAGGCTGCCCAACGTGCCTCCCCCCACCCCTTCCCCTCCCCTCCGTGGAGAGCAGACGTTGGGAGAGGGAGCTGGCACTTCAGGGGTGAGCTGGGCTGGTGGGAGCACAAAAAGGCCACAAAATCTTTCCTCAGGTAGCTTTTATTGGCCATGCAGGACTCTGGCTTGAGTAAGTTGAATTCATGGTAGCAGCGTTACACTTCAGGTCATATATATCAATATAGACAGATAAATATATTTTAGGAGAGCACAGTAACAGAAACAGAAGGTGCTATAAATATGCATTTACATTTCTCATAAATCTATACTATCTTATAAAAATAAAAGTATCACTAAAATATTTTTTTGTATTCTGCAACTTGTACACCAGAAGAAGTTCAGCCGTGTTGTCACAACCACGTCCTCTTTAATTCCAGATCACAGAGGGGCCTGGGCAGCCCTCAGAAGAGTGGGGCCAGGTTCTCAGAGCTCTAAACCACCCCCGTTTTGAAGTCAAGTCTTTCTGCTTTTTGTTCACAAAACCCAGGTTTTTAATTCCTACATCCTGGTACTGGGTGTACGTGGGTGTACACCTGTGGTGAGAGTGAAACAATTACCTTCTTAAAATTCTCTTGGAGGGGATTTGTATGTCTTGGCTCCCACCAAGAGGTCTCATTAAATCACTGCCACTTGTTACATTAATGTAATTACACTTAGTCAAAATTTTCTCCCTTTTTGTAATGAATAATCTATTCCATAGTTTTCTGGTTGGAAACGTTTTTAAAGCTTCCCCTTTGATTTCCACAAGTACGTGTGCACAGATTGTGTATTTTTAAACTTGAAAAGAAAACTTCAGTGGTATAATGCAAATAATTTAAAATAAGTAGCTAGGAAAACAACCTATTTTCTGAAATCCTCAATAGATGCAGCTGCAGCCTGGGATTGTACCACACAGGTGTAGGGGATCCTGTTAACTGAGAAGAGGCACAGCAAGAAGCACAGTCCCTTATGAAGCTCCTGCTGGTGAGCCAAGAAGTTTGTAATGCCCTCTGCTGTGTTTTCATCCAGCTGTAATTCACTCAGGGCTCTCCAATTTAAAGCTGAACTGAGCCTGAAGTTTCCTGAACAAAATCAGGGTCTTTGCAGATGCTGCTTTTACCACAGGTAACTTCCTCTGGTGTGACTGCATTGACCCTGCTTGTTTTGAGCATTCAGGCCACATACTAAAACCACACCAGAAAGCATGTAAGAGACAAATATAGAATGGTAGGTGTATAAATAGGAATGTAAATATGGGTGGTCACTGGTTTCTTCCTTGAGTAAAAGTCTAGTGTCAGTATTTTCCAGTGTTGGAGAATCCAAACTACCTGTCCCAGCAGCAGGTGATGGGTCAGGGGTGTTTAGGTGTGGTTGTAGTTTCTGCCTGAATAGTCAGTGACTGCATGTTAAGCACAGTGTCTGAGCTACTCTTAAAATTCCAGCCAAAGTGGAATGAAAATTGGTGTGATAATTGCAAATAAATGCCAGTGCCTATGGAATTAGCAAGGTAAAATAAAATTATGTATTTAATTAGAAGCGAAGTAATAAATAATCAAATAACTGTTAGCAGCACTTTCATGCACTGAGAATATGGTGATAATTTTAAACATATAATTCTGTGACAGAATCTTGAGGCTGTAGTGCTGCATTTATGTTAAAAATGCAGAATACCTTTGTAGTGACACGAGAGAGAACAAAGCAAAATTACTGGGAGTGTTTCAAAGTCGTTTTCAGAATTACAGTATAGGAACAATTTAAAGTAATGTTTTGAACAGGATATTCAGTAAATGAACGTTTGGTTTGACTAACAGGATTCTTGATTTTTTAAAAAAAAAATTTTGCATTTTAATTTTGGAGCAGCTTTTATGCCATAATCTTATTTATATAATCTAAAAATAGATTTCATCTTTGGTTTGAACCACAGCTCATAGAGTAATGAAACATATATATATATTTAAATTAATGCATTAACTTTAAAATAATGACCCCCAGCTCTCAGTCATTATAAATCATCATAGCTGATTTGCTCCAACATATCTGACTTGCTCTGAATGATTACCAGGCCCCCTGTGCTGTCACATCTGGAGCTGTGGAGAGCCTTTATCCAGCAGCCTGTGTAACTGCACGAGTGCAACTCCAGAGAGCTGGTAAAATCAGCCTGGGGATGGGTGATCTGCTGAGTCTGTATCCAGAGTTCTTAGAAACACATCCACACTGCTGGTTTATTGTACTGAATCTGTTCTGCTTTTAGGCTTGGGGGTGCTTGAGCATGTGAATGTTCAGTCAGCACAAAGGAAGGAAAAACATCTCCACTTCTCCACAGGCAAGCAGGCAGTCCCTGGCCAAGCCTCCAGCTTGCCTAGCAGAGGATCTGCCCTGGAGTTACCAAGTGAGTGTCTTTTGTCAGTGAGTGAGTTGTGTTCTGTTGCATTCTAACAATGACAGCTGCACCCCTCTAAGCAAGGCAACCTATTTCAGCTGGAGAGAAAGTAACTGAAAATACCAGAAGGATTTGTAGGGAATGAAAGAGATAATGAGAAGACCCTCAGGGTAACACTCACAGAATAGGGGAATTATCAGCTACTCTATTATTTTCCTGATTGAATTTACTGTATATTGCAGAATAAGGGACCCTACATCTACTATAAAAAACCACAAAATTTAAATCCCTCCCAAGTGGGATGATGGAAAGCTGATAGGAGTACCAGTACACTTAAACTGGTATTTATAGCTTTAGCTTGGAGACTTCCTTATATTGCAGGTTTGCCTCTTCATTCTAGATGTTTATTGCTCTCTGATTTTGTGTGGTTGCATACACTCTCCTGCTAGTTACAGTGAGTAAATTCATTCCTGTGCAAACAAAAATGGTCTTAAGAAGGACTGAATTTCACTTATGCTTTGTGCTTTGCCTCTCTGGCAGGCTGGATTTTGCTCACTGATAGAAAGGAATAATTAAATCAATTCATGACGAACAAAATTCTTCCAGTTCTCTGTGATGGATCTTCCCTCCAATGTGCTGCTTTCAGAACAGGACTGTGCTTGAGGCCAGTGCAAAACAGAAGAAAGGCTAAATTATTTCTGCAGCATTTCTGAATTGGGGGAACATATGAACACTAGTTTCATTTTCCTAAGCTCTGTGTTTGGAAATACACAGCCACCACTCTTAAAAATAATCTGTTTTTCTTTTGTGGTAAATAGCATGGTGGTATTAAATACTCTTCATGTGAATTTCCAAGATCTAATGGCATCAGCCTATTATTTACAGTGTTACTCTCAACAGTCCTGATGGGGGAAATTTTCTTTCTTTTTTTTCTTTCTTTTTTTTCCCCTTTCCCTGCATATCTTGCAGGAATAGATTTGAATATTTTAGAACTGCTCGCAGGGGTTATTAATTAATTGGTGTGCCTTCATATTTAATTTATGTCACACACAAACTCAATTTTTTAGGTAATAAAACAGCCTAGGCTGCTTATGGTTAGAAACAGTAGTTCACAAATACTTGTATTACTTCATTCCAGCAGGTGAGACCAAACCTTTTTTTTGCTTACTCTCAAGCAAGAAAGGGTAGATTTAGTGCATGTAGGGTTTTAAATGTTTCCAACAATGTAAAACAAATGACATTTTGGTTCTACACTAATAAGTTACTAGTACTACCTCACCTTTGATCAGCTATGGAATTGTTTCTCCATGAGGGTGGATTCAGGTGAGGAATTCTCACAGCTCCTCAGAGTTTGTGGTCTCTCTGCAGCTGTGTGGCTGCTTCTTGGTCAGCAGGTAGCTTCACCATAGCAGAACTGCATCTGGTGCACAGATCTCTCATTTCTAGGAGACTTTCTTCCACAGCTCTTGCAAACAGGTCTGAGGAGGTTTCTTTACAGTCTTTGAAGCTTGAGATGCAGAATAATATATGCTCTGGCTGAGGGTTATAGCACGCCCCATACCCATTGGGCACCACTGGCCCATAGCAGCAGAACATTTCCATAGTGGTTGGAACCTGGTGGCAGGGGGATGATAAAGGGTGATCTCTGATTAATCAGGGCACCTGAAACCAGCTCGTTAGGGATGAGAACAAAGATCAGCAAATGCTGGAAACGTGGTGAATCTCCTTTGTAGAATATCATGTGCTTCAGAAGTCCAGACCTGTAGCTGACTCTTGGAAGGTAAAAGCTGAGCTCAGGATAGAATTTGGTTGCTGTGTTTGTTTGCTACCCTTTGAAAACTGGTTTTGTTTCAAGGGGATATAATGCATTTCTTTGCTCATTTCAGACAGACCTTTAACAGCTGTGAGCTTTGTTACTGCTAAATAGGGAATTTTTTGAGATTATCTATATTTCTGATATATAAAAGTCTGGTACATAAAACTTCTCTAAGGTTTTTAATTTCTTAAGGTGATATTTAACTTGTAATTTGAAGACTGTAATGAATTATAGAGAATAGTATTGTCCATTGCTAGTAATAATTTATAAATGGATGCTCTATAAAAACATTTTAATGCATGTAGGTGCTGTATTTCTATTACACCTCAGTTTAATCAGGGCGTAATACAGGAGTGAAACACTTTCTCCTGCAGAAAATAAAAGATGTGTTGGAAATCTAAATGTTTCAGACTTCATGTACATGGGCCTTCACAAATGACATTTGGCTTTTTAATGGTGTAGAACAAGCCATTAGTCCTGCTAATAGAGCCATAGAATTGTCAGATAAATTTGCTGCACAGCAGCCGAAGGCCATAAAGCTATTCAAAAGCTCTCTTTGCTCAGGGATAGTTTCTTGGAGAATTTATGTAGTAGGATGTTGGTTACATTCACTCGTGTCTCAAAGTCTGCAAACATTATGACAAGATCAAATTACTTATTAAGGTTTTATGCAGTAGCATGATATTATAAGTCTCTTTTGTTGCATAGTACCAATCCGTGCAGCCGGGTTAGTGTTTCAGTAAATGAATTCCTACATAGATTTCTTCTTTCATTAGGACAGTCACTCCATGCAATGAAACATTTAATTTTTAGGCTACATGCTATGAAGACATTTCCTTATTCAGAGCATTAAATCTAGGAATTGTTGACTCAGAGTATCTTAGTGTAATTGTCAATAACTGTAAATGTCTAAAATATCTGTAAATCCAAGATGCATGCTGCACCCCCACACTGAAAGGTCTGTAAGATTTCAAACAAAGCTACTTTTAAGACTAAAATGTCCTCGTGGCTCTTGGCCTTTGTTTCCCATAGTGGCAATCTGTCTGGCTTGTGGCTGTACTGACACTGGAGTAAAGAATTCCTGCTAGGGCTGTCACCTTAGGGGAAGGAGGGGAATAGAGGGAATGGGAAGATGGGTAGTTTGGGAAGTGGGGAGACAGTGAGCCCTGATGCAAGTTTTACTTAGTTTGTATGCATTTCCAGAATTTCTGGGAAGGGCTTTGGGGTGTTGCGAGGGAAGTGTTAACTGCAGTCAGTATTTACAGTGCTGATCCTGTGGAGTGAACCAAAACTGGATTAAAAATCTGCAGAATTTTGCAGACCATTCTCACGGGGAGCTACAAGGTCTAGCAGAACACACATGACTTAGCCTTTGCTTAGCAGGAGCAGTGAAGAGGATAAACTCACCTGGCTGGTCGAGAGGATAAACCGATTGCTCGTCAAATATGTCTCATCTGTGAATATCTCTGGCAGTTCCTTGAAGTGTTCCCGTGCCACCTCTCTGAGTCCTAGCAGGTGATTGTCTATTGCCATGCCAGTAATAGCCTGCATGCAACATGATAAGACACCAGCATTGAACCAAGTGTGGAGACATCCTCTTGCCTGTTACTGCCTTGTTTTCTGGGCAGAGTTAATGAACTTGATTTGAGTGATGTAACTCCTGTCACGTCCAGATAGGACTCTTTTTTTAATTACTACTACAAAGTGTGTACTTTGCTGATGATTAGTAACTAGAAATTCATACCATGCTCTGAAGGTGGAAAAATGAGAAAGGAGATGGTCTTGAGTTATATTATGATGATATTATCTGATGTTCTTGGGTGTTCATTATCTCTCAGAGCTCAATGTCATGGGCTGGGCTTCCAGGGCTGCTGGGGGGACCATACGGGATACCCAAAATCCCTGTTTTGCAAATTCCTGTGCATCCCTTGGATTCTATTTCAAGGTAGGAAGCTCCAAACCACCTCCAGAGTGGAGCAAGATAATCTTTCATTGCCTTGCTGCCTGCATCTCACTCTGACAGGTGAAGCCTGTGTCATTCCATAGAATTTAGATCCAAACACCAGGTACAGGTGAAGCCTGTGTCATTCCATAGAGTTTAGATCCAAACACAGATGTCTGCAACAGATTTAACAGTGGTCACAGAATAAAAGGTTTGCCAGTGATCTAGAACAGTGGTCACAGAATAAAAGGTTTGCTGGCAATCTATCACAGATCTGCTAGCACACCTCACCACTTGAGGAGACTGGGCTTAGGGACACAGATGCTTTGTCATTTTAATTCACTGCCTGGATATCCCAGTTCCCTCTGCCACTCCCTGTGCTGGCTTCTCTGCAGAGCTGGATTGTCTCAGGGGCAGCTATTGCCTGGGCAGACTGGAGAGTCACAGAGTTCTGTTTCTTTAGGAGAGCAAATAAGAATTTGTTCCAAGCAAACAGGAACTGCCTCAGGTGACAATGTGCACTTAAAATCCTTCACTCTAGGTTTATTCTAGCTGGTGAGAGCATTGATGTAGAGGACTCAGCTGTAGCTCATCCCTGGTAACAGGCTGAAGCCCTGTAGGAAGGGAATGCTGAACAAGGGGCATGTACCACACAGAGCAGAACTGATATCCCTGTGCCACAGACCCCTTGTCACAAGAAAATTAAGCAAACTAAGAGAAGGCAAGGTTGAAAAAGGAGCACAAGTTTGGTTTTTATCTTTAGAGGAGAATTTAAAAGCAAAACAAGCAAACCAACAAAAAGCTGAAGCCAAACCCACAAGTTTGCCTTTCCTCTTGAGAGGAGAATCATTTTAACCATCACTAAGTGGCTGAAGCAGGGGGCTGGGAGTGCATAATCTTGTTTGGCTTATTAAGGAGTAGGCACCCATTGGTAAAGAGGCTATTTGTTCTTCAGCCCAGATGGAGTGAGGACGCTTGCAAAAAAACGTAGCCTACATCAAAGCAGCATTTAGCTTGTTTTTCCATAGAGGAAAACTGACTTGATAATCAGAGGAAATATTTTGCTATCACAGAAGATTTATAAGGCTGTTAGCAATGACATTTTTGCAACATAGATCAATGTCATGTCTGAGGAGAGGCCGAGACAGGCTAACGAAATAAACTGTGAGTCAACGCATAGGGGGAAACTGGGCTAAATTGAATTTCAGAGCTCCACATTTAAGATAGCAATGCTACTAGTAAGCCCTAACAAGGGGAAATAAAATCATTAAATTGCTTTTTGTTTTATGAAGTAGATTTTTTTGTTTGTTTGCTTTTCTTAGGAGCTATTGTGTTTCAGTCTAGTAAGCCCTAACAAGGGGAAATAAAATCATTAAATTGCTTTTTGTTTTATGAAGTAGATTTTTTGTTTGTTTTTCTTAGGAGCTATTGCGTTTCAGTCTGTTACACACAATTTAGTCAGACCGTGTGAGTCTTGCCCATAGGTTAAAGGCACAGAAATTACAATCTGCTATTCTAAGAAAGAAAGGGGAGCTTGGTGAGTAGAAATACCTGGAGACAGTCTTAAATTTAAAGGTAAATTAATTTTTCTGATCATGATTTTCACGTTTTCCCATATGAGCTACATGGGAGACTTAATTTTGTACTAGTTTCTGGAACTGAAATGACTTGGAAAGGGAATTTTATGGAATGTTTTTCCTTCTTTTTTTAAAGAGATGTTGTACAGAAATTCCATTGGTTGTGACTTAGACCTACAGTACGTTGTGTTCATTGTGAGGTTACCCTGAGATGGTTCAGGTGAGATGGTTGCCCTGAAATAAGACTTGCCTCTGCTTTAGAGATGACGTGGAGCCTCAGCTTCTAAAATGTAGGTTCCCAGTACAAGGCTTGAAATATAAAAGTGTTTTTCTTCCCCACTTTGTTTCACAGTCTCAGGAATAAATCCTGCCTGAAAGCAACACTTCACCTCTGCACTTTTCTGAGTATACCTTTGAAACAACCTCTGGAAGTGAATGACTTCTGGAATATTATGAGTATTTAAATGTAAACAGCAATTTGGGTTTGTTACACAATGGTCTGAGGCAAACCCATAGGTAGTGAATTCACTTAGCAGAGCTGGTTATTAACATTTATTAATCTCATAAGTGGTTTGACTGAGTTGTTTGTAGAGTAAGTCTGTGCTTTGTCTTGGCACAGTGGGATGTAGAGCACTACCCAGGTTGAATTGTCTCATTTTTAGCCAACAGAAAATGACTTGCATGTGATACTACACTGATTTCTTCACTGAAGTGAAGACACTGGCCTGTCTTCCTTTTATTAGACACTGCACTCAGGTCTTTAGAAAGAGAACTTATTATAATCATTCCCTGATTGTGAATGACCTGTATTAGAAATGTCACTTTGGAATACCAGAATACACTTGCCAGAATACCAGAACACACTTGCCAGAATACCAGACAGGGACCTCTCTCCTCTAGTGAAAAGAAACACAAAAAAATGCATAAATGCTTACTTGGGGAGGATTGGGGTGTGTGTGGGGGTGTTGGGTGACAACACCCTTCCTGATGTGTTACAGCCTTGCCTACTTCCCATCCTGACAAGGCACTCAGCTGTCCACTTGCCATGCCCCATTAGAATACCCAATTGCCACTTTTCTTAGCTGTCTTCATGACTAACCTGTCATGATAATCTCTGAGCACACAGAACAAAGGCTTATTTTATCTGGCTACTGTTGTCCTTTGCAAGCCTTTCAATATTTATTAAAAAATCCTTTTCTTAAATTTTGATTGCAAGCTCTTTAAGGTGGAGGCCAGTTTTGAATTTTTAATTTGTACAACAGCAACCTTAGCAGAACTCTAATTTGTGGCTCAAACTCCTAATTATGCCACAGATACAAATCATAGATGCTTCACAGAGGCATATTCCCCTGCATATGTTGAATCCAGAGTATGAAGTTCCATGACAGTTCTAGATAAGAAAGCTAATGCTCAAGAGCTCTTGCCACTGATGTCTAACACAGAATTTTGTTATCTTGCTTTCCAGGAAGTATTTTTTATGATGAAGTTAGTTGAACATTGCTACTTGGAGTGTGTTTGAGTCATTAGAAACTTTTTTTAAGTGTAACACAGAAGGAACTTCCTGACTTAGAGATGCCTGTGTTTTCTGGTGCTCAAATAGTTAAGGATTGCATCTTCATACTTTTCTTGAAAAAACTAACTAGTCCTTATTCAGACAAAGCAGTGTAGTACTTACCAGAATAGTATAATTAGTCTGAGCTCCAATTGCATCCTTAAATCTCTGCATCTTCTCAGAATCCTGTTGTGGGAATCAAAATATAGCTGTTATTGAATAAACTCTCAAAGAAATAGCATCCCCCCTCAATGAGGCAGCAGCCAAGCAGCAAGCACGCTCCCATGCCCTGTGCTCCTGGCTCAGGTGGTTGTTTTATAAACAAAAAGCTGTAGGGATCCAATGTCTGGAGCAGCCACAGTGCCTGGTTGTGCAAAGGTTGAACAGGTTTATTGGTGGTGGGCTGCTTGAAGTCAAGCAAAGACTTGCAGCTTCTTCCGTGGATTCCTCCCATGGGTTCTGGGGGTATAGATTATTACTCACTGCACTGCTCTGTTTGAAGTAGGGAAAAATCATTGGCTAGTGTAATTCAGTGTTTTCCAAACAGCTAAGCAGCATATCTACTCCTGAATGGTTTATCTAGACAATAACAGGGATGTTAATGAAAGCCATTACTGATATGTTACTAGCCAGTCATAAAATTACTCCCTGGTGTGAAAGGGCATCTAGAATTGTCCAAGGTTTCTCCACCCTCCACAGATGCCTCACATTTCAGACAACAAGCTAGTAAATTTTGCCTGCTGTCACACAGCAGCCTTTTATACTAAGGGAGTGATCCTAAGAAGTGCTGCCCTGCTGTCCATCAAGGCTGCCACTGCAAGGTTGGGACAGCCTGAAACACCCAGGAATGACTGAGTCTCCAGATAAACAGGGAGCCTTCAGCTCCCATGGACGATTAATGATCTTTTGAACAAAGAATTCATTTTAGAAGCAATTCAAGGCCACCATCAGGGAGCTTCAAAGTACAGTGTCTGATATTTTTTCATAGGGTCACAGCTAGGCCTTAGTTCCTTTATACAGATTAAATTACAAAACACAGTCTTTAAATCTGATTAATTTACAGCTATTCAAGCAATCTCTGCAGTGTCAGTTGCTGCTGCTTTTACAGCCAGTTTCAAACGTGTGATATATTTCTCCTGCTAGAGAATCAATCCAGCTCAATCAGTCTTTGGTGACTGTTCAAGCTCCTATTTAAAGATCATTTTTATTAGCATCAGATAGAAAATTTGTTTTAATTCGATTTGGCTTAATGACTAATAACAAACAATATTTTGGTGAAGTCAGGGCTACTTAAACCAGGTGACTAATCTCTTTATCCAAAAAATAGAATTAACCCACTTGCATCAAGAGGCAATCTGTAGGTCTAAAGAAATCACCTTGGAATAATGTTAAGTGAACTTTGTTTCTAATGACTCTGTGACAATAATATAAGTAGTTTTGAACTGAAAGATAAAGATGTAAAGATCAAAATGAAGATGTATAAAGTTCATGGGAAAGAACAGTCACAAATCAGTTTAAATGCCCTTTGCATTTTTCAGTGGACAAGAAGCCATGAGAACTATCAGTGGATAGTTTTACATCATGACTGCAGGTTTTTCAGGGGGAATGGACCCATTACTCTCCCTATTCAGTGCTGCCAAAGCATGCAATATAAAGATCTGGGGGCTGAGACTGAGCTCACCCCAGACATGCATGGAATTCTGCTACAGTTTAGGGTGCTGTGAAAGGTGGGCACAATCTCAGATTTGGGTGGTAAAACAGTGAGAAATTCTGAAGCTTTGGGAGAGCTGCAGAAGTCAGTAAGCGTTGAGATAAGGAAGTTAGGAAGAGATTGTTGGAGGAAAAAAAAAGGAGGATCTGGCAAGACAACATGCTGGGAGCAGGGTAGCTCCTCTGGGGGGTACAGACAGGGTGCAGTGATGTGTTTTGGGGCTGGGGGTATGCTCAGTGCCCAAGTGTGGAGAGGAATGTGTGCACAGATGACAGCAGCTTCCAGTGAAACACAGTTAAGAACCATGTTTTCAGACAGGACATCAATTGCAAAGAACAGCCTCTTGTTGTCTACTGTGTGCTTGTCACTGTTGTGTGTAGTAGTATGGTCATAACCTGCCTCAAATTACTCAGTCAG